CACGTGGAATCGGTGCCGGGGGGTTAGCAGGTTCGGAGTGCAGTTGGTCCCGAACTCCTTGTAGGCTTGGAAAGCCCCCGGGGGTGGGTGGTGGGGTGGAGGGGTATGGTGGGGACTAAATGGGCACTTTGCCCAGGTCTCGCAGACAAGAGGGGAGCTCACAACAGGGCCTGTACATGTCTGTCTTTGGTGGATTCTTTACTACACGCTTTCATTTAACTCACTCTGTCTGTTGTTGTCGTATCCTCAAATCTTGTAACTCAATTTTAACCCACTTCCCAATGTGGTATCGACTGCAAACTCGGTATACTCATGTCATACTGATGACAATGCTATATTCTATCATAAAAAAAAATATTTTTAAACAATCTTTTTTTATATGTTATGTTTTGGCTTGGGTCTAATTGTCCACGGTAAACTTACGTTATGGCAAGCTTCGGGGCCACTTCCTGGAGTCGTGGAGTTCTTCCATTACTAGTACATTTCATAAAAGCGTGTTTAAAATAAAGTTTGATTAAATATTACTTATTTTATATTTAGAATCTTATTTTTTAGACTAGAGGAATCCGGTGAGCTTATGAGGCTCTTCTTCAGAGATTTCCAGCATTCTGATCTCCAGAAACCTCTGGGCGATCGGAGGAACCCCCCTGACCCATCTTGTTTTCTTTGTATTTAAAAAACAATAATGAGCAGATATCCCTCATTTTTAAATCCTTTATATTAAGTTCGCGTGCTTGCTTGCTTGCGTGCTTGCTTGCTTAGGACCGTGCAAATCTTTCGGTCGTTTTTTAACCCACTTCCCGTGATCCAATCGAGCTGACATTTTCCACACAGACTCGTTGTGTGTGACAATTAATTTTCGTGAAAAAAATCCAAAATTTTACACTGTTTAGGGAAAACAAATTAAATATTTAATTACCAATTGCTTAATGGTGGCAGACAATCATCTGACCCATAGGTGGCAGCCATCTCAAGCCAGAGGACGAGAGGACTCTAGCCGCCACGCATATAAAGGATTTATAGTGAAAAACTTTGTTTTTACGGGTTTACTTGTTATAGGGCGCCGTGGTGGCGAGATGTTAACTCCCTCGCCTGGTATGCAGGAGGTCATGGGGGATCAATGCCGACACAGACACCTGCTGTATATTTGGAGTTTGCGTGTCTCTCTCCCCGAGGTAGCGTGGATTTTTCTCTGGGTTCTCCGGTTTTCCCCTCCACATTTAGAATCAACATCACGCGTTTAGAGTATTTGGCTGCTATTATACATTTCCAAATGATGATGATGATGATAAGCCACTTCGTTCAGCTATCGTTTGTGATTGCCAGGTCGCTTCTGAAAAAGAGCTATACAGCTCAGTGAGCCTTGCCTGGTAAAATAAAAAATAAAAAATCTAAATAAGACCTCCAATCTGCGTCTCCGCATATAGATACAATTGCGTTTCAGTCCCGTCAGCTTTATCGGCTTTCCAGACCAATACCATCCGGCGGCGCAAGCAAAACACTGGACTGGATTTTCACCTGAGAGGTATCGTCAGCAGCATCAGGCCTGTCAACGGATGAAGGCCTCTCAAAGGCGTCGCCATGTCCGTTGAAATCCGACGGCTGTAGTAATCGACCTCTGGCACCTGCACACGAGCCGATTTCATCGTTCCATCTCTGCAGCGGATGTGTTTTTTTTTCAGGCATGTCAGACTTTCCTTGTCATCACATTTATTTACGGCGTTGTTGACCATTGTCCGCCATGCAATAGAGCGACGATTTTTCGATCGTCCTCGGCGATAAATCTGTAAAATGCTGAGAAAAACCCATTGCAGAAACGGAAGTCATACAAAAAAATGTGTTTCTTGGAAAACGTTACAATAATTGCATGCGTATGCATTGTTTTTCATCCTTGTTACCTCTGCGGAGTGGCTCGCGCTTTGTGCGAAGACTTTGTGTTGGTAGCTAACCAGAAAGAAAACAAAGCGTGCATTGTACGGTCGCTTTGTGTCTCTGCTGCCTTCCTCCCCCGAATTCGGAAATGCTGCGGCGTTGAAATCCGAGCGTTATTTTTTCCGCCCTCTGCTTGTTTAGTAAATCCTTCTGTTCACACCCTGTCGGTTACCCCCTCCGGCCCCCCTACACCTCGTGATGCGACAGGATTCCTTGCCTGCTTGTTTATCCTCATCGTGTCGGAGCAACGCAAACAAGGCCCAGCAGGAATGCGCCTGCGTGTCCCTTCCTCGTCCTGTCCCGCACACCTAACCACGACCCCACCTCCCACCACACACAAACACACCGGCACCTAAGGCTCGCCCTCATTCTGCACACCTGCGCTGTCTCTCCTCGCTAAACACACGAAAAAAAGACTCCAGATCTTCGCGAGTTACAAACCCGATACTCGCCCGTGTTGTTTTGCATACCTCGCGATCCACAACTCGCCCACCTACTCACCCACCCACCGCGTGCGAGAGCCAGGCGTTGACGCTTGGATTACAGCTGTGGAGTAAGAAACGACACGGCCAGAGCTTTGTTTCTTACGATACTAAACTTTTTCTTTGACCAGGTAGGGCCCACCTGGGCTATAGAGAGCTCTTGTTTTAGAAGCGACCTGGCCGCAAATGATAGCTCAACAAAGTGACTTGTCATCACGTGGACATGTATAGCAGCGTGATGTTGATTTATAAATGTGGAGAAAACCAGAGGACCTGGAGAACACGCACACTACACATTTACAGCAGTTGTAGGGTCGGGATGGAACCCACGACCTCCTGCATACCAGGCGAGGTAGTTAACGTCTCACCAACGCGACACCCAAGGGAACATCTTCCACGTCCGCTGGTAGCGGCCCACAGCCGCCGCGAGAGGTGCACTGGGGGGCGTGGTGTGTCGGCTTACAAAGTTAAGGCCTCACACTTTAACACTCACACCCCCCCCCCCCCCCCGAACACTAATACTCACCCTGGAACCAGTGCCCGATCCAGCTAGTACGGGGCCTGTAGCATATGTTATAAAGGGGCCCTAAATAAAAAAGTAAATTTTTTTTTACTTGCATTGTAAAGTAATTCTATTTTTTCATTTGCTATACAGCCAGATAATACGACAAATCGCTAACCTTAAACACGCAGTCGTTCGTATAATTTGAAGGCGGTATAGTACTATAGTAATAGAGCAAGTGCAGAATCGCTGAACCGGAATTGACAGCTTGAAAGCGTTTAGCGCGGGGCCCTTGAAAGTGTGGGGACCGTATCATATGTGGCTACTTTTGTACGAGGATAATCCGGCACTGCCTAGAACGTGATTTCCCCCCCCCCCCCATACCGCCGGCCGTACCACTCGTACGAATAGCCTATAGGCCTCACGCTCACACGAGGTAATTCGGCGAGACCAGAGGGTTGGTTGCACGTGACTGGAAGTAAAAAGAAGTTACTTCACTGACGAAACATTTCCTTCGCAGAATTAACACCGTCGAAAATTACAGTCAGAAATGACACTGCCGTGGAGGATCTTCCAGTGTTGGGTTTGGTGCCACCTCTGAGCGAGGCGTGGGGTAATGGTAATCGCCCGCAGAGCCGTTCCGAAGACTAACGGCGAATCAGGGCGAGTGCCCCGGGCCCCGCGCTGTAGGGGGGCCCCACCGTGCATCGACGTCACGGTGTCACGTGATGCAATACCCCCGGTTTAGTTTGAAGCCGTCGGGAGGGGGGGGGGTGGTGGTGGCACACTGTGAGAACTGATGACCGTGATGCTGCTGCCGCTGCTGCTGACGATGAGGACATACGCGTGCGTGCCTCGCGTGCCTGCGCAGCGATTTTAATCCGACTCGTGGCACCATTGGCTTAGTGGAGGTTCCGCCACGATGGGGACCGTGTGAGTCGGCGCACGCGGCGGGGAGCGCGGCGGTTGTAGCGGTCGGCGCGCCGCTGCGCTGCGAACCCGGCAACCCCAAGTTCGATTGGCGCTCACGGCCAATAACAGTGACGAATATATGAACCGGTCCCAAGCCTCCCCTAGGTCGTCTCGGCACTAAATGAGGGCCTTGTCGTGTGTGTATACATCAGCGCTGGGGAGACAAAGCCGGCCGGGCGTGGTGCTGTGCATCCACACCCACGTGTGTCGTTCCGGCCTTCACAGGTGCTGCTCGCTAACAGCACTTGCCCCAACAGTCTGTTAAAGGCTATACGAGGGGGCGGCTCTTTGTCTTTGTAGTTTAGTGATGAGAGCGCTGAGCCAAGAAACTGGCAAGATGAGTTTTGATTCCCAGCCGCGGATTAGATGGGTTGGCGGTGCGATATCTAAACCTCACCTAGATTGACTCAGACTGAAATAATTTAGCTAATACATTTGTGTACAGATCGGCACTGGGGATACAAAGATGGCCATGCATGGAGCTGGCCACACTGCCCCTTCATGCACCATACCAGCCTTAATAGGTGCTCGCTAACAGCGTTTTTCCCCAACAGCCAGTATGGCTCAACAAGGGGAACTTTGTCTGTGTGTGTGTGTGTGTGTTTGTTTGTGGGGTTATGGCATATATAATGGGCCATAACAAATGTATATTTTTATAAAAATTTCACCTCAGGCCAATTCTGTGCGGTCATTATAAATGAAGAAAGAGGCCCTGGACCCAGCCTGGCACCCGAGCCAAATATGACGTATCACTTGAGCATTCATATAACGGCTGATTTGTAATCAAATTAAACAGACATTTTCCAGCGATCACACTCAGCCATGACCTATCCACTGCTGAATGAAGGCCTACCGGAGCTGTCCCCATCTCTCACTGTCTCACGATGCGATAATCCATCTGATTCCTTCGCTCCATCTCGGCGGTGGACGTGACCCCGCTGAGCGGCGGTGGCAGAGCCGCGCGGTGGAAGCACAGTTTGGTCGAACAGCGCCCACCCACCGGAACACTGTGGGTCTGCCTTCAACCATAAATGATTATCGTTGATACGACACATTGTACGGTGAACAACGGTGTAACATCTCCGTGTTTATTGTTTTGTTTGTGCCTGCAGGGTGCAAGGGAGAGTGACCAACAATCAACAGAGAAGCGGAGACACGATCAAAATCTCTCGCTGGGTCAGCCACGACCTCCCATCACACAGAGCTCGTCGCAGCCACGACTCCGGGCCTAACGCTCCTGCCCACGACCCATGACCCACAACCCTCGCGGAAACCCTCGCCAATCTCGTCTCGGAGGCCCATCCTGACACGCACGCGACGTCGCCAAGTGGCCGCGACGTCGCCGCAGCGTCTTCTTGCGCCAGGCTAGGTGCACTTCCGAGGCCACGTGACGCGCGCGCAAAAACGAGGACCGCGCGCGCGCACGTGCGACGAGTGGGAAGGCGGCGAGGAGGTCGGAGGGCGAAGAGCGTCAAGCCTGGGACGGTTGACGTGGAGGAGGTGGAAGAGGAGGTGGAGGAGGAGGTTGTGGGGGCCGCAGGTGCCATGTGGCAGCTCCAGGGGCCAAGAAGGCTCGCTCTGTGGGTCCTGCTGCTGCTCGTCGCCACGCAGGCCGACGGTGAGCCGCGACGGGTGGGAGGATGTGGTTGGTGGATCGCAGAGGGATTTTTGTGTGTGTGTGAGATTGCTTCAGAACAGAGGTCGCAAACGGGTTTTGATTCCGTACCCGTACCCGTACCTGGCCGCACCAGGGTCGCAAACGGGTACCCGTACCCTACCCGATACCCGGCTACCCGTACCCGGCCGTGTATCGGGTAGGGTACGGGTACTGGTTCCCGATTGCGACCTCTGGGATGAAGCCATGTTGCAGGCGCGGGTGGGTTGATTATAGGAACTTGAATTGTGAGAAGAGACAAGACGTTGGGAAATGAGTGACAAACAGTTACTCACCAGTGACTCACGGTCTACCCGTACCCGGCTGCACCAGGGTCGCAAACGGGTACCCGTACCCGGCCGGGTATGGGTAGCCGGGTATCGGGTATGGTACGGGTATCGGGTACCCGGTTGCGACCTGTGTTTCAGATGCAGAAGCAGAATGTGAAGCTCTTCAACAAACGATGCAAAAACACGACAGCAGTGCAAAGCAGAGAAAGGGTAAACAAGCCGCTAAAGATAAATAGAATCAAACCCCATGGATGGAATCAACGGAGGCGTCGTGTACAGAGGTGGCGTCAGTGTCGAGGCAGTACAGCAAGTTGGTCTCCAATCCATCTAATCTGACAGTCCGTTGGCTTGTAGTGTACACGACACGCGTGGGGCATCGTCGCTCGGTGCGAGTGGCGGATTGTGAATCGGCCTACCTCGAGCACCGGACATGCTCGTGAACAGGGAGTTGTTTGACCGCTGTGCACTTCCACGTGGTAAGCCACTTCGTTGAGCCACCGCTTGTGTGATCGCCAGGTCGCTTCTGAAAAAGACAGTTATGTAGCTCAGTGGGCCCCTTGCCTGGTAAAATGAAATGATAGTTTAGTTTGATCGTTGAATGTTACATCAGGCAAACCGAGTTTCCTCCCGGACATAAAGACGTCTATGCTGCAGGTGTCTCAACAATGTGGGGGGGGGGGGGGGGAGCCCTCGTGGTGGGTGGAGATGGGGGGGGGGCACGGTGCAGAGAGAGGCCCCCCCCCCATATTATTCGCAACCCGCACATCCGATTTAGCACGCTTGGCTACGTAGGGTGCGAAAGAAGTTCAACAAACATCGGTGTTCTTTGTTGCTTGGCTCGCGGGCCGCTGGCGCTCCCTTGGTGGCCTTTCGTGCGACCCCTGATAATTCACAAATGTTGAGAACACCACCCCCATCATCATCATCGTGTTGCTGTGAAAGCCAACAGTGGTTTCAAATGGTGTGGCGGCCCTCGCTCTCAATGACGATGTCTTACCGGCGAAAGTTGCCCCCCCCCTCTGAAAATTAGTGAAGGACACTGGCATACAGACAGACAGACATACAAACCACCGCCACCACCACGAAGCTTTTGTTGCTGAGAAGGAATGCTGGCGATGGGGGTGGGTGGGGGGGAGTGAAGGCCTTGGGGATTTTAATTAGCACGACGACGATGTGTCTCGGCGCTCTCGGTCTCCCCGCAAGGGAGAGAGAGCGGAGCGGAGAATGGAAGCGGCAGGGAGAGAGAAGCGGCTTGCGACCGAGACAGCGGGAGAGTGACTGGGAGAGGAGGGAGAGGGGGGAGTGGGGGGTTGGTGGTTAGTGAAACAGACAGTGAGAGAGTAACGCTGAAGGATGAGGGCAATAGAGAGACACTTTTTTTTATTGATCGACACACAGATCGTAAGAGAGTGTGTCTGTACGTTGAAGTTCTTTCGCACCGGACGTAGCCAACAGTGATAATTGAAGGGTGCGGGGGAAGGTCAACAAACTAAACACAACGAGCAGTTAGAAAGAAAAATGAGTGTTCAAGCTAGATGATTTAAAAGTGCATAGCTGCAGTGGCTTCCTGATGTCTAGAGAGAGACGCTTAGCGGTACACGGTAAGAGTGACACGGAGAAAGACACTTAGTTTCTCTGTCTGTCTATTTCCTGAGTGTCTCTGTCGCTGTCCGCGTCACGGAAATGCACGTGGACGTAACGTCACAGAATGACTTTGACGGGGAATGCCAAACCACAGGGAGACGGGCGACTCTGAAACGCGGAGAGACTGGATGTGTGGGACAGAATGAGCAATGCAGACAATTACAGAGTGAGAGTATTGACTCGTACTGGAGGAATCCAATGAGCTGCTGTGAAGCTCTTTTTCACTGATGTCCGGTAGACATGGAGACAAGGTGACTCGCGAGAGAGATACAAGACCATTCGGCGAGGCAAGCTCGGGAAAAGAATCAGCGATTCGGAGAGGGACGGAGAGACAATGATAGCACACACCGTGACGGGGAAATGTCTAGAGCGACAGAAACACTCCGATAGACGCACAGAGATGCAAAGGAACGATGAGAAATGTAAGAGGCTTAACCCTAGCTTTCATCAAGTCCGCATTATAACCACACGTGTGCCTTGCAAAAGGCATCCATTTGGTGTGTGAACATCTTAACACTTTGTTTTTTTTACTGCCAGAAGGGTTAAAGCCTATTCCTATATGTTTCATAATTTTGGATAGTGGCAAAACGGGTCCCGTAGACATTAACGCAGAGAAACCCCGGGCAGACAGACGAAGAAACGCAGATAGAAAATTAATAGATCACGACGTTGCGATCACAACACAAGCGACCCATCGCAGGCCTATGTAAGACCTCGTTTCGGCAACTCTCTCTCTCTCTCGCCTGAAGACGGTCGCTTGTGTTGCGATCGAAACGTCGTGATCTATTCATTTTACGTGACTTTACCGAAAGAACTGCAGAGCATGGATTCCTGCAGTCACAAAAGCTTCAAATAAAGATTGAGACAAAGAGACATCGGCAGACAGGGGGACAATGACCGGCAGACAGAGACACACAGACAGACGGAAAGGGTCAAGGCGTCTCGAAGAGAGCTGGTAAAACGACGCAGACTTTTTCAGGCTCTCCCCCACTCCCCACACGGCCCCCTTTTGTCCCACCGCTCCTCAGGCCTGAATGGAGGATTGTCGGAGAGCGGAAGACTTCCGAATCTGCTTGCCCAGGCCAGGGTGAAGCTTGAGGGGGGGGGGTTGCAGTCGAGGGGGGTGTGGGTGTTGTCCTTGAAGGGGTTTGTGGTGGGGGGGGGGGGTCGATGTGGAGGAGGTGGGGGTGGGTGGGTTGTGGTGATGGTGGGTGGTGGGGGGGGGCATCTTGGAGGAGTGCTGGTGTGGGGTTTGGGAATTTTCATTGCACCGATGGAATGGAGTGTGGTGACGTGCGGTCAACGAGAGGGGAGGGCTTGGGGGTCGTGGCTCTGCATGGCGCAGCGCGAGTTTGCAAATCTCCCGTGTGCCGGCGGATTGGACGGCTGCAGTGTTGGGCGCCACGGTGGCTAGGAGATGTGAACTCCGTCGCCTGGTTTACAGGAGGTCGTCGTTTCGATCCCGACCCTTGATGCCTATTGTGTATTTGGAGTTTGCGTGTTCTCTCTCTCTCTCTCCCCGTGGTCGTGTGGATTTTTCTCCGGGACCACCAGCTTTTTCCTCGACATTTAGAATCGGCATCAGGCGTTTAGAGCGATTTGGTTGCTTAAAATGTTCACGTGATAAGCCAGCTCCTTGGGCTATCATTTGGGATGCCAGGTCACTTCTGAAAAAGAGCTACGTAGCTCAGTGGACCTTACCTGGTAAAATAAAAAAATAATTGTTTTTTTACCCTTTTATCTGGCAACAAAACTGACACCTTTTTTTTACGAGGAGTCATGTTTGCATAGACCACAATACCTGCAGTCATAATGCAAACAAAAAACATAACTCTGATAATGTATGCACTGTCCTTGAAGTTGATTGGTCCACACCCGAGACAGCTTTCCTTAGAGCCTAGTCTCACATGGGTTGGACCAGACGACGCCAAAAGGCGCACAACGCAAAGACAATGCACCATCAGAGTTTGAGAGCTCGGGGTAAGCATTTACACCATTGGTACCTCATTTGCCAGTAAAAAATATGATAATTGGTTTTTTACCCTTTTATCTGGCAACAAAACTGACACCTTTTTTACGAGGAGTCATGTTTGCATAGACCACAATACCTGCAGTCGTAATGCAAACAAAAAAACATAACTCTGTGTCAGTTTTGTTGCCAGATAAAAGGGTAAAAAAACCAATTAACATACTTTTTACTGGCAATTGAGGTACCAATGGTGTAAAATAAAAAGAGTTTAGTTTTGTGATGTTTGGCATGAAGTCCGACCTTTCTCTCCCTGTGCTGGGATCTTCCTAGAGTGGCCCTCCTGCAGATGCCCTGTTAACGAACTCCAGAGGAGAGCTGTAAGTACGTATGTTGAACTTATTTATTATGTAGCCAACCGTGCCAACCGGAGGTGCGGGGGAAGGACAACAAACTCAACACAAAAAGCAGTTCTCATAAATAATTGAGTTTTCAATCTAGACGACGATTGAGAAATGCATAGCTCCTAATATCGGATAGGAAAGAGCGTTCCAGACGGCCGCAGAAGCGCATTTGAACGAGCGCGATCCCGCTGACGTCTTTGTTCGTTGGCCAGCCAACAGCGGCCGCTGCTGTTGCGAGGCTGACCAGAGGTTCGCGTGATGCTTTGTGCTCCATGGCGAGACCGGCGAGCTATTGTGGTTCGAATCGTCCGTCGGGCACCGTGCCGAACTCCGCACTCTGCGGTCGCGTCGCGCGTTCACTCCTCTGTGGGCATTTGCGATTCGCCGATGTCCACCGAGGATATGGAGCGATGAAATCATCTTGCGTGCGGTTGCTAGGCGGAGGATTATGTATGTTGTATGTATGTTGTTTTTTATGCATGTTGAACTTCCTTTGCGCCGTACGTAGCCAACCGTGCTAATCGGAGGTGCGGGGGAAGGACAACAAACTAAACACAAAAGCAGCTCTAAAGACATTAGTTTTCGTCGTAGCGCTGCTACAATGTTATTGTTGTTATTTAACATCGTCGTATCGTGAGAGACAGCGATAGCTTGGGCGAG